GTGTGTGTGTGTGTGTGTGTGTGTGTGTGTGTGTGTGTGTGTGTGTGTGTGTGTGTGTATAAATAGGAGGACGTGTATAAGGTTGGCGATCGTAAGGAATAATAGGAACGGAAAATACTAAGGAATCATTATTTTTTACCAGCAATAATTTAACCGCGGTCAAAATAACTATTTCTGAGTACGATCGATATATATATACACACGCGCACGCACGCACGCACGCACGCACGCACGCACGCACTCACGCACAACACACACACAGTATATATACACACGCGCACGCACGAACGCACTCACACACACACATATATAGGAGTTTAGATTGAATTGCGATAGAATATGACAATATTGTTATCAAATAAGCTTTCATGGTTTACTTAAATAATAACTTAATTATTATTATTATACTACAATTATTAATTATAATAATTATTATATAAATGGTTATTTTTTTTTTTTTTCAAATTGCAACATTACGCCTATATTTCTGGTTACATATGTCGCGATTGCGAAAACTTAGAGACATGACGCACCGCGCATGCGCGCGTCAACATGCAATATATGTAGCGGTACCATTGGAGGCCTGCGCTCAGCGACACGGGCGGACGTGGTGAGAGGGTTACCACCTAGCACGACAAGTTTTGTGGGGGTGGGGGTGCGTGTTATTAAACCTCTGTCATCCAAAGAAAAAATAACCCTAGAGTTCACAAATATTGCACTTACGATTTCAATTTTTTTTCAATTCCCTCAAAAACGGCTATCATAAAAGTTCTAAATTGCTAAAATCCAAGAGCTTCCGGGGGCTCAGCCCCCTGGACCACGGGTAAGGGCTCTACCCCTGCACCCCGCCGGGGGCCCTATGGCGAGCCCCTGGACCAATGGACCGTTAAGGGTTTCGCGCCAAGGCGCTCGCGGTGTGCGCTACTCGCACACACTTTTCGTATAGGGGCCTACTTTGCGATGGAAGTAAAGTAACAGCGAAATCATCCCCCCCCCACAACCGAGGACCTGTCTACGCCACTGACGACAACCCACGCTTGTACTGTCGCTGAGGCGTCGGTGTGTGATAGCCATGCGCCGACGATGCGCGCGCATGAGCAGCAGTAGTTATAATGACATCCGTGAATTCGCCTCGGCCAGTCCGTACACTTTCGCGCATATAGTCCAGAAGAACTTCATATGTGTTCGTTGATACTTCGAGCACATAATCGTATAATCAAGCATTCAGAATGAATCAAACCTGGTTATCGGATAAGAGAAACACGACAGATGGTCCATTCCAAGAGGACTGCGGCCGACCCACAAACGGGAACATTCTTACAAATATGTCGACAAGTGTAAAGGCACTAGCGTTGGCGATATTGCTGCTGTCATTGCTATTCACGGCAGTCGGCAATGGTCTCGTGCTCGTCATCATAGCAAAGATTCGTCGACTGCGAACAGCAGCGAACCTGACGATCGTCAACCTGGCGTCTTACGACTTTGTCGTTGGCACGACGTTCGGGTTTGTCATCATTCCGCGTTGCACGATGCTACAGTGCGCTTTCTTCATGGGCTTTGTATACACGATTCTCCAGGGTTCGATGTTAGGAATCGGACTGTGCACGCTGAACAGGTACGTAGCGATTGCTCATCCGTTACGCTACAAGGTGTTGATGTCTCCCGAGCGCACCTGTTGGCTCATCACCTCCTGCTTGCTGTACTCGGTAGCGGTCGGTTCTGCGGCAGCGATCCAGATATCGCATTACTGGCAACCGTCGCTGGGTTGCCTCGCCGATTTCATCCTACCGTTTCATTTCATGGCCTTCATTATTGGCCACTACGTCGCCTTGTTCATCTTCATGATCTACTGCTACGTCGCCATCGCTCGGATCGCCTCCGACCATGCGCGAAGGATTGGCGGTGAATCTGACGAAGAGAGACGGGAGATGTCGGCCTTCCGCGAGACGATGACGATGACAAAGATCATACTCACTGTTGTCGGAACTTCGTGGGTGCTTCTTGGACCACACGTGCTCTCCTTGTTGCTAATGCACATACTCCCGTGGTGGCAGCTTCGCGTGCTCCGGGCTATTCGGTCAAATACGCTGATATTGAATTCACTATTGAATCCAATCATTTATTTCTACAAGTACAAAGACTATCGTTTAGGTGTGAGAGAACTGTTTGGTTGCCCGATGCCTGATATTCAGCAACATTAGCAACATATGATACCAGACGAAATCTAGTGTAGCTATGCTCAAATATTATCGCTGTATTATATTATAGGCTGTCGGCTTACAGCTTAGTACTATGAGTATGTTATTTAGGCCGATATAATCAGTATAATGTATGCATAATGCAGCAACAGTGTGGCATAAGATTGGCATGTGTACAGTGTACTGTATGTACACACACGCGAGCAATGTAAAGTCTGGATTGGAATGTAAAGTTGCAATGTATTTCATATAAAACCATGCATTTGTTTGACAATAGATTAGACAATTTTCGCATAAAATAGCGGTGGTAATGTAAAAAAGAAATTGAATTGTAAATGGTACTGCATATAATGTTTGTAACATGCAGAAACAGTGTGAAATATCTTTGTATGTACCATATACATCTATATATATATCATTTACTTCGCATATTTAAAAAAATACATAGATTTATTCTCCGATATGGTAATGTTATTGTGATCATGAGACATGAACATTGTTTGTTTGACAATAGAAGATGTTATATTTCCGTACAAAACCGCGGTTTTAATGTAAAAAAAAGATCACGTAAAGTGTGTTGTATATACTGTGTTACTCTGTATAATATGCAGAAACGATGTGACATATCTTCGTATGTACCCTATACGTCTATATATAATTTGCATCGCAAATTTCTAGGAAAATTTGCAACAATAAAAAACGTCGTTTTTGTTTGACTACAGAAAACGTTATATTTTACGGCCGTTAAATATCACGTTTTTTCGCGCTTTGCTCATAATTTGCGGACGAACATAATAGTTTGGTCTGGATTTTTTTAGTGTTGGTCTTATAATGTCGCCGTAAGTCGTGGTGTTTCATATTTAAATTATTACGAGATTATGGAAGTGTACGCGGAACAAAATAGTTGTGCGTCAGATGTGACGTATACGCGAAAATGTAATGACGGCATGTCGGAGTGGTTAGTTAGATTGTGTTCTTAAGGATATTCTTTGTTATCAACTTATCATATATGTATAAAAGCAGTAATAGTTCTTCGAATGTGGCTTCAAAAGTAGTTCTATGTCGTTTCACATCGAGAAAGACCGCCAGTTATTTCAGTACAGCTGACAATCAGAAACTGATACATATAAACAAGAGCGTATAAAGAAGGAATTATCTGCTCTTGATATAAACAAGTGCGCGCCCTTGTAGGCTTAATAAAGTATGCGCTACTCTGTGGCCATTAGATTCTCGTAGCCATCGCGCACACACACGCACACACACACACACACACACACACACACACACACACACACACACGCCCGCGCGCACGCATAAACACACGCACGCCCGGACACACACACACACACACATACGCACACACGCACGCGCGCACACACACACACACACACACACACACACACACACACACGCACACATACGCGCGTGCGCACGCATAAACACACGCACACACACACACACATACACACATAATACGACACATTAAAAGAATATGGGCGCCAACGGACAGGAACACGAAAGACATTCCGTGGTTCAATTGAGAGCTACGTAGCTTACAGGGGCAGAAAGAGGATGCGCAGAAAAATATATTAAAAGCATGAAACAAGAAGATTTATGTAAATTACAGAAAATTTATAAATCGGTTGAACAACCTTAAACCTCGAATGATCATACTGACTACATAGTAGACAAGATAAGTACTTACAAGTTAGCTCTAGTAACTATAGCTACTTACAAGTATGAGCTTTCTCAGACAGATACGGTGACCACTACACACAAAGACAAATTTGCAATTGCTCGTCACTTTGCCTGTCGCACCTCATATGGGGTTCTATACTGCTAATAAATCTCTCCAAATCAAATTTTAATAGACTAACCACACTACAAAATTATGCTCTATGCATAATAAAAGGTTATTCCCATAAAAATGCGTTATATAAAACACAAATTAATTATATAGACAGGCATGAGCAGCTACTAGAATTAGAGAACAGTTAAAAATGTCTCCCATAGAATACCTAATTAAACACCACAAAGTTATATTTATATACAAAATACGTCAACCACTCAGAAATAATTCCTACCATGCATATCTGACAAATATGACACTAAATTCAAGGACACTGAAATTAAAATACATAACAACAAATAATATGTATGGTCACAACTCACTTACTAAGAAGGTAATTGCTAAACACTAAAATGGGGTCATTCGATCGCTCGTTTGATTGGTAAGCATATTAATTGGTTTGGTTTAGATTTTTGATCTTGGAATAGCATCAGGAGTGAATAAAAACAATTAGTATTAACTTCTCTGTTAGTATATATAAAATAACAATTAAAATCATCATGGATCATTAAAGTGGGGTATTAGTTGTTAAACAAATAAAAACACAAGACATAATAATTATATATATATAGGGGAACCCGGGGCAAAGCGGAACACGGGGCAAAGTGAAACTGTCTCAGCAGATCTATGTTGATGCTGCCATCTATCTGTGACTGTTTTCATTAGAAGCTCAGTTGATGATGCATCGTTTTTGATGGACGCCATTTGCATGAATCAGGTATGTACATTTTTTTGGACAAAAGTCTGTTTTTTATGTGTTTGAAATAATATTTTTTAGAAATGAATCATCTGCTAAATCACTGTGATCTTGTGGAATTCTTATGTAGGCTATTTTGTTGAATCTAAGGCCTATGTGTGCCATATGCATGATGACATTATTTGCGTAGTTGTCTGCACAGCGTAACGCCACATGTGATGTATAGGAAACTATCATGTGTTCGGGGCAAAGTGGATGGGGCAAAGTGGAGCAGGGTTCCACTTTGCCCCGGCAATATTTGATAGCCCTAAATGTATATCGTTATTATCAGATTATTTATTATGATCTGAATTAGTACTCTCAGTAGCAGGTAAGCCTATGTCTGTCTTTGCATCATTTTAACACCTAACTCGGTAACATTGGCATTTCCATCTCTGTGTGTTTATGTGTGTGTGTGTGTGTGTGTGTGTGTGTGTGTGTGTGTGTGTGTGTGTGTGTGTGTGTGTGTGTGTTTATGTGTGTGTGTGTGTATATGTGTTTGTGTGCGCGCGCGTGTGTGTCTGTGTGCGTGTGTCTGTGTGTGCGTGCATAGCGTGCTATGCTGGCTACGGTATGTGTGTGTGTGCGCGCGTGTGTGTGTGTGCGTGTGTGTGTGTGTTGCGTGCGCGCGCGTGTGCATGTGTGTGTGCGTGTGTCTGTGTGTGCGTACATGTGCGTGTACGTATGTTTGTGTGTGTGTGTGTGTCTGTGTGTGTGTGTGTGTGTATGTGTGTGTGCGTGCATGTGCGTGTACGTATGTATGTGTGTGCGTGTGTGTGTGTGTCTGTGTGTGTGTCTGTGTGTATTTATATATGTTTACCAGTATAATATTTGCCATGTATTTATCGTATAGGCATCTCGCATACTATATAAGCGATTTATATAACCGAGTTGAGTTATAAAATCCAGCCATCACTCATGATAGCATTATCGTCGCATACGCTGTCATTTCACGTGTATACTCCCGATTTGAAATCATGGCGTACCTGCCATCCACGACCCCGGCCGCGTCACTTTAGCCCAACAACTGATTTGGAGGAGAGATGAGAGGAGGCAGCGAGGAGGAAGCGGGGGGCAGTTTCCACGCACCCCGACGAGAAATGTGAATACCATGGACATGATTATTGGAACCACTCCCCAAAACACATTTCGCACGTGGCTTTACTACCCCGCAGTCACGCAAACACACCTGTACGCCATCACGGCACACACACGCACACACAGCACACACACACACACAACACACACACACAGATATGGCACGCCACGCACGCTCGGACGGATGCTGCGCACGCCATGCACACACACACACACACACACACAGCAGACACACACATCACACGACTTGCCATGCACACATGGCAAGCATGTAATGGAGATGGATGTTGTGCATGGATGTGATAAATAGATGATAGATATTTACAGATCAGATAGCATAGATATGATAAGATGATTTGACTGACCTTCGCAGTTAAGTTAGATACTATCTTATTCTGATGTACACACAAGATTTATATCTCAATAAATGCATTAAAATGATATAAAAAATATTTGTAGGTGTGTGTGCATTCGTGTACGTAGTTCGTTCTGAATAGATATAACGCGACTATAACAGAACTCTGCCAGTAAAATACCCGATTTCTCGCAAACTTTTAAATCATTACGGGTTAGCCAATGCAGTAAGAAAGAAGCGAAGCGAGACCGACGGCTTCGCATGCGCAAATTCTAGAGCAACTCTTATTTGCATTCGCTTATGCAACCGCATTGTCCGTGCAAAGATATTAATTGATTACAAGTAGGCATCGGCTGCCATGTTAAAGTGAGCAAGGTACTTCATTATTCAAAACAGAATCCAAGACAAATATATTGCATGTTAGAAATTTTTTTTGATAAAATACACGAAAGTCTATCAATTTATTTATTGAAAATGTACATATTATGCTTCATATCGGACAATTCATAAGATACAATAATTTACAGCAAAAAGTGATACTAAATAAATTAAATAAATAAATCAAATGAAAAGCTTATCGAATAATTGAATTAAATAAATAAATGTAATAATTTAAACTAATTATAATTTAATTTATGCACTAGTCACTGGACAGCTGAAGGTTTGAAAGCTGCATTCAGTTCCGCTAATTTCTAACACGCGTTTCTTATTCGGCATGGTGTCAGGACATTNATTTTTTTTTTTTATATCTATCGATTTCGAATAGGAAGTCGTATTCTTCCGACAGACCAGCTTTTGTGCGGTTGGCCGTGCTGCCTATCAGAATGGGCGTGCAGGAGAAGTCACTGTCTAATACTTTCATCTCCTTGCAGACTCGCTCCATCAGGTCTTGCACGGCGTCCCGCATTTGATCGCTTTCCCCTTGATGCTCTAATCTTCCCAAGCCTGGCGTCTCCCATATATCA